GTGGCTGAACTGAGATCTGCCCGTCTGCTTCCAGTAGGAGTTTCTGAAGTCCTTAATGCTAGGCAAACAGGGCTTAAAAAGATTTACTCTGGCACATACAGGAGAGTTTAAAAAGCCATGTTTCATCCGAACCCCTTATTAAATGAAATGTAGCATGATCTCCACATATTAAGCACGAGCTGTGAAGGACACTTGCAAAGCAGTAATTTGATAAAACTCGAACAAGGAGTGGGGCTTCAGTGACATTTAGAGCTCTTTAAAGCAGCGCCCTTTCCCCACGGTCCACAACGCGAAACCGTGCCAAGTCCGTATGGAAAATTGATATGCAGTATGTGTGGCTTATTCCATTAGACTCATTAAAGTGTCACTTTGTCATCAGCACGGTCTCTCTCTTAAAGCCTACCTTACAACTGCAGCAAAGGACTCATTGTGTTGTGTGTATAAAATACAGCACAGAGCTTTTTTTTCTTTTCTTTTTTTAATGTGGCAGGAGTAATTTGTCTTCCAGGCAGCAGCCAAAAGACATCAACACAGAAAGTATCAAATGGAAGGTATAGAAAGCACGTTCATTTGCGGTTGGACGTATACGGTACAGGTCAGTCGGCGGGAGCGGGAAAATATGGCCAATTAATGCTCTGCTCTGGAGAACGCCACCCTAATGCAGCTTATTTCCCCGCTCAGTCTAGACTCTCACTCTGCTAAAATCATTCAAGTGCCATCTACACACTGGCTCCTCAACTGCAGCACCAAAGCCTGAACCGATGTTGTTTCTCCTTTTTTCTTAATCCAGACCGCAGTTCCCTGAACCCTGTAGAGGTTTTTTCCTTTCTAACAGGCTGACCTCCTGTGCAGACAGTAAATTGCAGGAAAAAGGTTTTCACGCTTGGCTACAGTTTGTAGTGGCAGAAACTTTATCAAACGTCTCCAAAGAGGATCTGAGTGCAGCGCTTTTAGCCTCTGATTAAACGCTGCCTCTCCAAGGAAAACCTTGCCACTAAAACACCACCCCGCTCCACTGAGTCCGATTTGTGGAAATGGGAGCATTTTTCTTTCTCTCTTTTTTTTTGTTTTTTGCCGTTTTTGGGCAATTGCGGGAATTTTCCCTTTTCGTTGGTTCCCAAAAAAAGGCTTTTGCCTCACTTGGCAGAGCAGGTATACAAAAGAAAGGAAACTCAAATCTAGCTCTCCTTTTTTTTTTAAATTCCTTTGACAACCCAACTACTGACGGCATATTATCAGGACATTCCAGCCAAGCAACATAAGGAAAGTTCTTCTGAATCTCCTATTATGTGAATACTGCAATTGTGGGTCTTATTAGGGAAAAAAAAACAACCAAAAAAGTTGCACTCAAAGAGTCATTTGATATCTTGAACCTTTTTATTATCATTTGGAAGCAAATTACCTGCTGGCTCTACATCATTTAAACAATTATCACACAATATTCTCCAAAACAGTTTGCTCCGTGGCAGCACTGAGGCACGCCGAGCCTCAGCAAACACATGTGCCTAATAATGAGTGGGAAGTAGGTAATTGCCAGTGCACGACATAGTTTACACACCGGCGCTTTAAATCAGTGACATAAAACAGAGTTTGAGCTTATGATTTACAGGCGTGTGCTGATTAAATTAAAGTCTATGCTTTTTCTCCCAGTTTCGCACACTCAGAACTGAGTCAAGCTGTCTCAAAATATGTAGATGTGTGTGTGTGTGTGTGTTTTAAAAAAAAAAAGACATACATCTCTTTCACACACACGCTTCCTGCCACATTCTTTTGCGTCTGCCAAAAGCTTTTAGAGATGCTCGGCAGTTGATGCCTGACTTAGTGTAATGTGCAATGTCAAGAGCGGAGGAGTGGAGTTTTAGACGCAGCCGGGTCATCGATCTTAAAGAGATGTACCACTCGAGACCGAGCCAAACATTTGCCAGAGCATCTGGATAAAACGCTGAATAATTTGAAATAGGCACTCTCAAAGTGAGAAACGTGCCATCACATGCACTGCGCAGCTTAAAAAATACAAAATAAAAATCAGCAGAAGGAGTGGCTGATATGTAAAATTTTTAACAAGTCCTCATAAAAGAAACAAAACCACAAATTCTGAGCTTTCTTTTTCACTTCATGTGGTCTGTTCCCCCAAATAAGAGTCTAAGAAAACCCCAGGAGACATAAAACAGTCCAGATAGGCATGTCAGAGGCAGACGCACCAGGACAAGCTCCTATACACTCAGCCTGTAAGACCAATTGGATTTTCCAGGGGTGAAGTGCCTTTATTGTCAACAGTGTGTCCCGCTGAAAACTGTACCGCGTCAGTTCCACCCGGCATGATTTATAGCCTTCCCAAGTGTTATTAAACGGCTAAATGCAATTCTAAACACATTTCCCATAGTCCCTGCCCTGCACTGGACCTTTTCATGCCCAGAGGTGAATGTCCCACATTCAGGAACATTTACACAGTTTACATGGATTTAAAACATTTTTTGTCCATTTGGTTTTAGGAATTTGTCATAAGATTATCACTGAGCTGACAGATGAACATGCAGTGCTTATCTCGATGTTTAAATAAAAAGGTGGGACTTTTTAGCATGGCTGCTTTTAGCTGAAATCTGATTTCCACGCGGTTCCACCCGGGTTCACACTCAGGTGATTCAAACAAAAAAAAGCCCTGCTGGCACAGCAAAAATAAATAAAAAAATAAAATAAAATCATGTTTGGACAAAAAATAAAAAGCCCTGTTAAACTTTAGGTGGGCTTTTTTTTTGTCCCCCACTCTGCACAAATGCATGGCAGTAACATTTGTGATTTACAAGTGAAGCAGTGCCTATAAGAATAAAATCTCACGATCTGTTGGTTTTAGCACCCTGAGGGCTGATAGTGATGCCTAAACTGCTTTTGGCAAGTAGAGGGAATGCACGGGGAAAATCATCAAATTTCCTACAATCAGCCAATGGTGTACATTAACTGACATTTTCTAATCCTGCAAATGAAGAAAGTATTTCCTTAGGTTTCAAATGTTTTCTGAAAGGGTGCACAGATTTTTAACTGCTAATTTGCACACCCTTTTGCATGTCCACCATATAAAACAAAATCCTTCCCTGCGGCCGGGGAAACGCCTGACCTTTCCTGGAAATGCTCGCATTTAAACTACAGTGACAGACTTGTGACCTCCGACCTCTTCAATGGAAGCACACAGCCTGCCCAGCGCACCAGACGGCGGCAAATAAAGACAACAACGACCACACTTTAAAGATTCCTCTTTGTCCCGTTTGCTCAGTTGCAACCACAGTACAGCCCCTGATCACTTTGTCCGGAATTATTGTCTTAACATTTGATTACAGTGAAACCGCACTGTTGTTCCTCTCTGACTCTGCCGAAAAAGACAGCATTGTCCACAAACATATCCTGGAGCTGCTGTGATTAAGGGATTAAAAAAAAGCTTGTAAATGAGAGTCATTAATGTGCAGCACACCAGTAAGTTTCATCATAAAGTGACATTCATTTAAATGGAGAGAGAAAATCAGAATGAAAGTCACTGGAAGCAGCAGCTGCCGATTATCTCTGGGAGAAAAGGATTCTGAAGCTTTTTTTGTTTATAGATGATATTAGTTGAAGAGGGTGCCATGGGAGTTTTCTTCATGGAAAACAGTATTAGTATTTGAAACTTAATTTTCAGAGTATTTTCCCTCTGGATCGTATGTGGGTGGGTGGGAAACACAGTCATTTCCACTTGTCTCTTTCCAGATATGAAGTACCTAAAGGATCAGGGGGTTTGGCTCCTCTCCACTTCATATTCAACCATTAAACTCCATTTGAGGAATAAGTTATAGCTAACTCATCCACTTAAGTAATGTGAATTAACATTCCTCTCTGCCTCAGAGCAAAAAAAAGAGAGGACTGAGGATACAGAGAGGAAAGAGAAAGAGAGAAAAAAGACAGGCCTTGGTGAAATGCTTGACGCCCAATACAGGAAATGCTGCACACCTTCACTGTAAATAACAGTTGAAAAGGCATTTATGGAGGACGGGGATAATCCAAGCAAACCCCGAAAAACTTTCCGGAGACAATTCATCACCACTGGTCTGGATGGGGAGGATTGTTTCATACAATATAAACACTTTAAAGCCAGGACAAAGGAGGAAAATGCCTTCCAGGAGCAGCTTCGTAAACAATTCAAACTCAATTCAAACTCAGTTCAATCACACTTATGGGAATCAGCCACAGGCCACTCGCATTTGCTATCAGGTCATCTTTAACTTTAAGGCACAGATGGCTCTGTGCAGTGCAAACTGCAGTGAGAGAGTCCGGACACACAAATAAACTATAATAAAGAGTTATTTAAATGTCTGTGTTGCAGGATACACGTATACGTAAACCGAATCCTGTTTCCAAGAGGCCACAGGCTTCTGGAGCCCATGCATCTTACTGCCTTCATCAGCGATAACCCCTCCCACCATCAACCAAACCTAACACTACATGCAGTGGTTGTTTGCCTTTTAAATAAGCCTTCACACATTCCTTATCTTTAACGCTCAGATTTTTGAGGGGCGTGGTTAGAGTGGGCACAATGGGCATCCAGCTGACTCGTTAAGAGCCCCCCTATTGTCCGCCACTGGAGTGGAGTATTTCCCCGTGCCGAGCCTTCAGAATGACAATGGGACGATAATCTAAAAAACCAAAGATCATTTGCATGAGAAGAGAGGCTGAACGATGGCCGGCAGTATGGGGTCACTTAACAGATGATTTCAGGAGCCACAGACAAAAAGTCGGCCTAAAATATACGAGCAAAATGTAAACATGGGGATGGATGGCTTGAACCGTCTTTACAGCACGTTAAAATAAAAGAAGCGCAACGCCGCAGCGGAGCGCGTTGGGAACATGTTGGAAGCCCTTGCAGGAGTTTTTCGTCAAGGCTGACAGATTAGAAAGTTGAATGTCAGGAGAGGAGAGTAGGACAATGGATGATTTTAGAAGTGAAGGCTAAGGAAAAAAAGTTTTGGGAGACTCACCAGACGCGCTCAGGTCCAGGACACTTTGGAGGAGCAGGGCGATCCAGAGCGCGCATGGTGGACATCTCCAGAGTCGCTGGTTCGCCGCTGCCCGGTTTAGATACATTCCTTCGGTTGTGTGTTAAACCTTTCCACGCTTTTCACATCCACCACACACAATAATCAATTTCGAGTCCGTCCCCCTACAAAAAAAGTAATATAACCCCAACAATAATAATAATAACCACTCTAAGCTCGGCGTTTTGATCAGTTCTAGGTCGTTTCAGCAGTTTTTTCAAAGCCCACCAAAACTCTCCCTAGGATGAAAACAAATTGGTGCTTCTTGAAGAAAGCTGTCTCCGTCTGTCCTGGCTTCTGTGCCTTTCCTCTTCGCTCGAGCCCAGCTCCGCTTTGCCTCCTCTCAGTCTGTCTCTCTCTCCCTCTCCGACTGAGCGCAATCCTTCCAGCAAACTTCATCGGGAGAAGTTGTGCCCACAGAAGCCACATGGCTCTGATTAGCCAAGTGTCGCCATCGTGCGTGCACTACAGGAACTGTCCGGAGGGCGGTCAGAGTCTACCTCGTGTGTTT